ACACACACACACACACACACACACACACACACACACACACACACACACACACAATTGTTTGTATTTCTATCCGTTTCAGGACCGTTCATTGACTTCCATTCATTTTCTGGTAACTTTATATCCTAACCCTGACCATTGACCCTAAAACTAACCTAAACTGAACCTCTGACCCACACTTGTAGTTCCACCATATTAGGACTACTTGTCCTAAAAAGGTAGGTGTGTATACCAGAAACGGTCCTAAAAATGTAACAAAAACAAGTACACACACGCCCAGCTCACAGTCATCTCACACAAACACACACAAAAACAACAGCGTGAGACGAGACAAGTCCAGATAAAAGTGATCCTTTCCACTCTGTGTGCTGTGTTCAGGGGTGGACTGTTGACTTTACAGAGTTCTCCCAGTGCATCCGGGTCGCTGGTGGTTCTGGTGGTTCTGGTGGTTCTGGCAGAAGAGGTGCTGCCATGCTTGGCCCTGTGGTCACAGCAGCACCCAACATTTATTTATTTATTTATTTATTTATTTATTTATTTATTTATTATAAATAAATTAAAAAATATTCAAATCTAGACATGGAAACCTTTGGGAGACCCAATAAAATCTGAGACTCAAGGCCTGGATATTTTCCAAAACAAGCATTGTTTTTTTTTTTGTTTTTTTTGTTAAAATTACAGTTAAGTTTACTGATATGTTTCTTTACTATAATTTATTGGGGAAAGTGGTGTTCCAGTCATTTTGAATCAAATGTAATCTCTAATCCAGTTGGGATATTAGTCACACATAAACCATGGAAAAGCCTTTTTTCCTTCTGATGTTTTTAGTTAATTTGCTTTGTTCTGTAGAGAAATTAATAAATTATTCACTTGGTCAAGAAAACCATATGGTTAAATGTTAATAAAGCCTAATGTGACCTTCCAGTGTAAATTAAGCACAAACTGCAGCCTCACCAGCAATCACGTTGTTTCCATAACAACCTATGAAATTCTGAGAATTACCTGCAGTTTCCATCAGAAATGCTTTGTGGCAGCACAGACGTTGGTAAAAATCAACAAAAAACTGTGTCCTTCACAAATAAAGCCACAAAATATCTTTTCTTGCTCTGACCTCTGAGTTTAGCATTTATTGATGTTGTTTTGTTCCTGATCATGTTGGGAAGATGGTGTGTTACCCTGGTGTGTTGGTGTGTGTTGGTGTGTTGCCCTGGTGTGTTGGTGTGTGTTGGTGTGTTGCCCTGGTGTGTTGGTGTGTGTTGGTGTGTTGNGTGTGTGTTGGTGTGTTGCCCTGGTGTGTTGGTGTGTGTTGGTGTGTTGCCCTGGTGTGTGTTGGTGTGTTGCCCTGGTGTGTTGGTGTGTGTTGATGTGTTGCCCTGGATGACTCAGCCACAGTGTAAGTTCAGCTGTCAGCCGTCGGCTGATGAGTAATGTTTATCTGACTCTTTAGTTAACGAAATGACCCTTCTCGCCTCTTTCCGTCTGAAGCTTCACCCAGGTGTAATCCTACATCTCACGTGCACGCTGCTGAGCTGTGATTCTCATCAGAATCACATCCAGTTTGTGATGTATTTCCCCCAACATCACAGTCAGCGTGTTTCCAGTATGAGATGTTCCATCCATGGTTCCTGACAGCTTCTCACAGGCCCGGGCTGCTGTCAGGATCACTTTCATTTTCCGATAAGCCAGAACTCCTCCACAKCCGATCAGCAGGAATCCAGTTATCATGAATCCAGATWTGTATAAATCTTCTWTGTCTTCAATGGRAAGMRGTGCCAAACARATCMKGTTCCAGCCCCAAGAACCACTGACCCGACCAGCAGCAACCATTCCACTGGGACAGCTTTGTTCCCCTCATTCTAATCTCAATGTGGAAAAAATAGTGTCGATGGTGTTCAGAGACCAGTTGACCAAATCCATAATTCATTTTGTTTCGGATGATAGGTAGAAGAAAGGTTTGAAAAAGCTGTGAAGCAGGAAGGAGGGACAGGTTCGAGTGAGAGAGAGAGCAAAAAGCGTCCGACTCCTCTGAAGTCCAAGCAGAAAAAAACATACTCATTAAAATGACATAAAATTAGGATTGAGACCAAACAGTAATGTATTATCGTAACCAACAAGACAAATTAAGTCATATTTCTGGATATGCTGATGATATCAGAATGATCCAGGTATCAAAATGTAGCCTTTAAAGTCAGGAATCTGAAAATGTAATTAGGCCATTTTAACCAAATTTGACTTAACCTCTTAATACCCAAGGGGTTTTCTTGAAGTTTTTGCTCAAAATACCATGCTGAAATGTAATTGAGTGTTTCTCAGCATTTACAAACTCTACTTAAATAATCTTTGTATCAAAATAAAGCTGACAGGAGATTTCGTCAGAAGTGTGAGTATTAAAACAGCTGCTGTGGTTTGTGCAGCCTTGATATATGTATATAAACTGAAACAGCTGGACTAGTGCATCCTAAATTTAACATCCATTCATTCTTTTAATACA